ATTGCGCCAGGTTCAATATACAATTTTGGAAAAGTCCTATGCTTTTACCAAATTTACGGCTTTGTATGCTGACGGTCAGTCAATAAGTGCAGCGAAATTGCATTTTGAGTTTAGCGAACATTTTGTCAGAGCTGATTGCATTATAGCGTAGTAATACAATTACCTGGCAACAGGACACTATCCGCTTTGTATGCAGCTACTAAATTTCTGCCAAATAAAATAGTATTCGTGTTTGCCACGGCCGCCTAGATATTGAACACAATCCTCTTAGCTGTCGGTGTTCCAGTGGTGCATTTATTCAATTATGAGCACAAATGTATATTGGTCAGCACTTAATTCAGCACTTGAGCCTTAGCTGGCGTAGCCTTTATTCCTGGTTTGCTGTTTTTCATGCAAACGCAGTCTTCAATCACTTAGGCAAAGCACAGCGTCCCAGTAAATTGTTTTTCGAACAAACTTTGACCTAAGTTACATCCAACTTGGGGTCGAGCTTTCCACGAGTTCGTCTTAGTGCTCACTGTTGACCAAAAAGTATGCATCAGCTTCCTGGCATTTGCCGTTCAGCCTGTAGGTTTAACACGAATCAGAAAGCCAAGAAAAATTGTTTCCAGCATAAATTGACTTGTGTTTAGTTTTGGTGCTCCTAGTAATTTAGAGTATTACCAGCTTCGATCTTGAATTGATTTGTTTAGATGGGATTAGCGTTTCGCTTGCATTTTTAGATGCCAACGTTATGTTTCGCCAATGAAGGTCAGCTCCGCAATGTGGGTGAGAGGGTGGAGCTGTGGGTGGCTGGGCGTAGCGGCTGCAATGGCTGCAAATTAAAATTCGTTTAGTGTGCCAAAAGTTATGCAAGATTTGTACATATCCGATCTATTTGTGTGGGCTGGAATTTTATAATACCGAGTGGCCCTCGCCAACACGTGAAAATAATTACACAAGCGCATGGGGCAAATGAAAAAATTAATTTAAGTGCAATGTCGGCGACTAGCACAAATCCCGGCTCATCAATTTGGCCTGCTAAAACGACACAAGCCAAATTTATTTTGGCCAAACATAAATCTGCCAGCGCACAACTCGGTTAAACAAAACCAAAAGTCACAGTTACACAGACACACACACACACTGGCAGTGAGAAGCTTACATTGCAGGACATGTGTAATTTCTCACGTGATTTAACGATGAAAGCGATGTTGTTTCTTGGCTGATTACGAGATACCCTATAGTAGAAAACGTAGTACATAAACTGTTCCTATCGGATAGATATTTACCTAGGTCTGGGTTCTTTTTAAAGCCAATTAAAAAAAAAAGAAGTTAATTGTAGAGAAAGTCTAGATAAGCTCTTTGTAGAACATGCCTTTTGATGAACTTAGCTAATGTTACGGATGGAATACAAATACTAATCACAACTTTAGTGTGACTTCATAAGTATGAAACCGTACGAGTTTTTCTTGAAGAGATATATTTACACACACTAGTTCCTGTTAAAAGCCAAATGTGTTTTTTAAAGAGATTTAAAATATGCCTCTTTCTAGAGCGTGAAAGCTCATGAGCTACTGAATAACTTTAGTAATAACTTTAGTTCTTAAGTAAACACCTTAAATTTATTATTTTAAGGAAATAACAATCTTTCACATTCTCTTTTGCTTTTACACTTGCAGTGCAAACAAATAAAATACCTCTGGATGGGTCTGTTTCCAAAAAACAAAACCAAACGAACAAACAAAAAATTTTCAAATGAAACAAACAATACAATTGTTTGCTCTGCTATCTGGCTGCTCCCATTGTGTTTTTGCTGTTGCTGGCGTGAGCGCATAAAGGAAAAGTGCTTAAAAAATAACAGTAAATTACACAAGCACAAGCGCCACGCCAAGCGGCACGCCACGCCCCCATTTCACCGCCTCAGCGATGCATGACGAGCTTGCATACTTTTAGGGACAGCTGATTTAATTCCGCGCCAGAGGATGCCATGCGGGCCACAGCCACACAGAACTGACGCTTGCTCCTGCCAATCGGTGGAAGCCCTGCGCCGGGGGTGGTCGGCTGCGCAGCGCAATTTGAAACGTTCCGACCGCCGTTGCACCTGACGCTGTGACTCAAGCTAAACACGCATACCCCAGTGCGGCACATAAATTGCGGGAGGAGGAGGAGCCGAGGGCGCAGATGGATTCTGGTACGGGCTGGCAGGCTCTTTTGTGTAGCGCACATCATGCATTTATATGAGCGGAATTTGTAATACAAGTGTGTGTTTAAATGGTTTTCGGGCAGAGAGTGTTTCCTAATCTGATTTGTGCCAAATTGCAGACAAATGCATTTGGATACTTCCGTAATGAATTTTTGCGAAAATTGTTTTTGTTTTGCAACTACATTGTTAAAGCTAAATGTATGTAAAACCATAATGAAATGCACATGAAATTTGCCACTGTCGGGTATTTGGTTTTCGTTTTGATTAATATAAATAATAATTTAATCGATTAATACTACTTTTTTTTTTTTATTTCTCCTCGGGGATCAGTTTCCTTATACTTGTCAGCAAGGAAGTACTCTGTTTAAAAAGCTTTCAAGGATATTAAGACTTCTTCGTTTCTGCCAATATCTGATCTTTTTTGCAGCTTGATAACAAAGTCAGCTCTTGCCTGGTTTCTCAACCGTCATCCTCATGACGGCCACTACTCGAGACTTTCATTATATTCGGTCTTTCCTTGGTCTATTCTTTTGTGCAGCTCTTTTGGCCAGCGCTTGTTATTGTTTTGTTTCCTCGGCCATTGTTGTTGCGCTGCTGAAGCAACACTAAACAATACGGCGAAATTACTTAATTTCATGTTGGTCTAATCAAGTTGCCATTGCCGAGCGCCAAGAGCGAGTGTGCGGCTGGCACGGAAGGCCGCACAAAAGCGTGCAACGCGAAGAGCATGACAAAAGTGTGTGCAGGTGCGGATTGCCAGCAAATAACGTGCCGTTGCCGTGCCAAGCACACATGTGTGTTGCCTATGAGCATACACGTATATGCTATGGAGACCCCGAAGCTAACTGACTGCTGCCATCTTTTTTCTTGTTTTGCTTCTGTTGTTTTTTTTTTTTTGGGCCACCGTTTAGTGGCCGCTCATTTATGCCCCAAGCAGCAGCGAGAGGCAACAACAACATGAAATAGGTGGACAGCTAAACGCTGACAACAACAACCTGAACGAAAGCACAAACTGTGCAAGGCTTGCTGCCATTTAACATCTGGCCTGGGACTCGGCCTGGGCCTGGGCCTGTGCCTGGGCCATGTTAATCTGAAAGTGTGTCAATGTCGACATCCGTTTCCTTTTGCCAAGGTAGCAGCCGCCTGCAGAAGAGGGAGAAGCTGTTATAGCTGCACTCATATGGCCACTTGAGATGCAAACAGGTAAAAGGACCACAAATTTAAGCATTTGTCTACTCCAACACGCACCGTCGCGCACCCACACACACACACACACACACACACACACACACACACACACACACACACACACGCACACACACTAGAGCTTGGCATGGAAACGAAATGAAACTAGGCGAAACATTGGTAAAACGGTCATCCGCAATGGACAGCAACAGCCGCAGCGAACGTTTTGGCAATGGAACACGAAATTGGCGCAGCCTGTGCAATCTTCTTGTCGTCGCAGCGGGCGCGCTTTTCTGTTGGCCACTTTTTCATGCTGATAAATTGGCAGCGACATTTCAGCAAGAGTTGACAATTACCAGCGCATACATGAGCTCATCTACTGTGTGTTTGTGTGGGTGTGAGTGTGTGTGTGTGCCTTGTATAATTAAAAGCAAGAATACCAGGCATGAAATTGTTTTGCTTAAATGCCTTTGACTGCCACTGCAGCCGGTTGGTGGTCTACATTTGGATATGATCGAATGCGAATGCGCCACAACTTTAATTATGCTGCCAAGTGGCACGACTGTATGTATGTGTGTGTGTGTGTGTGTGTCAAGGCTATGCTTAAATTTGTCCAAAACATTTGTACATTTTGATTTGTTGTATTTCTGGCCATGCACTGTGCCAAATGCAGCCATAAAATATGCTATGAAAAACGATTGACTTGCATTCAAAACTGGCTATTTCTAGAAAATATCCGAATTCTACAATTGAAAAATGTAACCATAATAAGGTTTAAGCACGTTGCAGCTTAACGAATAGTTCAAACATAATTTCTGACTCTATCAAAATATTACTATTTATTCTTTTTAGCACATTTCCATTTCCTTGAAAATCGTTTTCCTGTAATTATATAATATAGCCGCAAATATAAATTAATTCCAAAAGCATCATCGTTTCAGACACTTCTTCTCAAACATGTCAGTCAATCAAACCGAGTATCTAATCTACTTGCCCACCTGTGCGATAAGATTTATCTGTCCGTGAATAAGCACACACAAAAATACATACACGATGTATGAATCAGAACTACAAGTTAGACAATTTGAACGCAATTTAAAACTATTTAATAAACGCATAGGTCTAAGTCTGCATGTTTCTACATCACATCGATTGCTTTGAAATAATTGAAAAAAAGAATTTAATTAAATTACCATTTTCTGCAAGTGTTTAATCTCCAAATATCTAGCAGACCCCAAAAATGCCGCATGCTGTCCTGTACGGCAGCACGTGGTAGCCGAAAAATAGACTGCACACACATACAGAGACACACACACACACACACACATACACACATACACCGTTGCAGTCAGGAGCGACAAGTGCAGCGCAGCGTCGACAGCGACGCAGACGCAAACGCAGCGATAAGATAAAACGTGCGATGACAAAAAGCACCCAAAGCGGCCCACGACGACGACGACGATGACGACGACGAGGGAAGCCGAAGTTCTGCAACGAGGCGACTGCGACTGCGACGCCGACGCTGACGCCGATGCCGATGCCGATGCCATGGAGTGGCTGGCTGTTGGCTACTGTTGCTGGCGCTGGTCGCTTATAAAAGCCGCTGGCTCGGCACGAGCGAGCATCACAAAACATTGAAGCGCGTTGCCGAGCAGACAAGCACAGTGTGGAGGCCACGTAGACATCTACATTAGCAGCCGCAGCCGCAGCCACAGTCAGAGTCAGAATCAGAGTAAACCAACGGTAAAGTGAAACAATAACACTAGCTGTCGCCGCAGCTTGTAAGTGTGTGTGTGTGTGTGTGTCTGTATGTGCGAGTGCGAGTGCATTTGTATTTGTGTTAAGAGTTTCCGTTACAAAAATAATGCCACAATTTCGAAAATACATTTTAAAAACCGACAAAAGAACAAGAACAAACCCCAAGTAACGAGCACAAGTTGTTCAAAGAAGAGGCATAACAAGGATGCCTTACATGGCCATCCCAGCAGGAAACCACCAGCATAGTCAAGTAGCCTGGCTGTCAGTTTTGTAAGGAGCTTGCGGCCCACCTGGCAGCCCTTGTGCAGACCGCCTCATGATTGTGAAGAGCGAAAACTTAACAAGTGCAAGAAACGATGCTTTTGTAATGAATTCATTCAAAGTGTTGACGGCCAAAGTTTTCTCAAAAAGTTTTCAAAACAAAAAATAAAGAGTAAGAACACAGAACTATATGCAAGCAGTTCTGCTCAAGGATCCTCGTCCTGTTCCGGTTTGCTTGGTCGACTAACCACTGTCGCCAGCGCCGTGTGCGCCGCAGGCCTAAGCCAGCGCCACGGGCTCCAGTTTTCATTCCCTTTTTCGCTCCCGTTTTCACGAGCTTTCCCTCTCTATATCTATCTCTGTCTCTGTGTCCCTCTTGCATTCCCTGGTGTCTGTTGTTGCCCACTAAATTAAATGTAAATTAATGCAAATTACACAAAATTACTGCGGGCCGCACAATGCAACAACTGCAGCAGTTGCTGAATGCAGTTGCTGTCTGCCCCCAACCTATGGGCTGCATCAAAAGATAAAATACAGTCGCTTTGTCTATTATTTTAAATTGGCTGCGCAAATTTGCGGCATCGCAAAAGTAATTAGCGACCATTGTAACTGTGCCACAGATAAGTAGGTGGAATCAGAATCTGAAATAGCAAAAATAAAGAGCAGCTCGTACAGCAAAAGAGACCGTAGAGCTTGTCACTCAAACTTAAGTAGAGTTAAGATATGTTCTTAAAGGTTGATATAACAAAATCAGCTTTCTGCTCCTCCTTTCCAATAGTATTATTAATTTTCTTGTGGATCATACCACAGACATTTTGAAAATATTATTAATTTTTTCAAATAAATATTCTGTTTTATTTTTTATATACTAACTATATTGTTGAACATAAATTAACATTTTTGGATATATCCAATATATTTATCGAGTCATCTAAAGGAAGAGAGCTTACATGAGGTTAATGATACTAATAATAATAATTAAAATAATAATAATAAGATAATCAGTTTCTGTTCTAAAATGTTCGTTTAGGTCTAGGTTCAACAAATTAAACAAACTTATACATAGAAGGACTAAAGACAAAACATTTCTCAGATAATTTTTAGAATCATTTTAGGATAACAACAAAATTATAAGTACGGGGGAATCATAGGCATTCTGAATAGGCAAATATGCTGTGTATATTGATTGATCAGTGGATTATCAATTAAAGTGAATCGAAAGCAAATTGAAATAGTTGCAACTCGATAGCTGTTGTTATGCCAGAAAATTCTGTACAATATTCCAATCTCAAGTTCGTTTCCATTAAATGCGACGTATTTTCGAGCTGCTTTAAAGCCGTAAGAATCTGTGATAAATGACCTATACTATATACAAAATTCAATTAAACTCCTGAACTTTGTTTTCTTGACTTAAGCTAAAAGTTACGAAAGTTCAATTCTGACAAACTTAAAATAAGTGCAATTGTGCAACTCCTGCTAAGGCACACTCAGCTTAACGCAAACACTTAAATTGATGCCCAATCTCATTTTTTAATGGTCCTGACAAATACGTCGTTTATTTAGTTGAGGCTCTAGCAAAATGTCAATTAAAAGTTTTATAGCCTTATATTGGCCAAATAATAATAGCGTCGATGATAAATGTTAATGGGCAGCGTGCCATAAAAATGACAACAAAAATTGGCACCAGTATTTCCGTTATTAGGAGCTGAATCTGGCTCTAATTAATGAGCCGGGCTGCCATCGACTGGGCCAAAGCCACAACCGCTGGCACAGCCATTTTGTGGCTTGGTGCGCCTGGTTTTTATGCACCGGCGCATGAGTATTGATATTGTCAATTAATGCGCCTTGACAAAAGCCTCCAAACATAATAAGCGGATAATGAATGGGGCTGCAGTTAAGGGTAAGGGTAGGGGCAAGTGGAAGTGGAAGTGATCACCGGAAGTGCGTTAATATTAATGAAAACATTTTGAATTGGCAGCAGCAGCAACAAAACAAATTAGAGCGCAATGTTGAATTTCGTTCACATGTCGTATTGTCGACCGCACCACGTGGCGTATGCGTAATGTGCAAATTTTTCGCAGAAAAGCGCGAATTCAATTTGCGCGCATATTTAATAATTAATTTCAGTTGAACATAAAATACGCAACGGTCTATTAAAAGGCTTAAAATTTCATTTTCAATTTCCAACTCGAATAACGCACTCGAATGCAAATGAAAGCCAATTCCATTGGTGACACATTTGCCTTAATTCCATCTGTTCGGGCGGCTTACAGGATGCACACGACGTGGCAAATGAATGAGTAAAAAAAAAATGAAGAAGAACATGAAAAAGTGAAAACCTATTCGCTGCCTGCTGCAATTAAAATAAAAAGCGCGTTAAACTCAATTTCATTTATTTATTTTTTTCAATGCTTTGAGTTAACTGAATCCAATTTTCCTTTCTGTACTCTCAATTTACCCAACCCATTTGATAGTTGACACATGCGTTCGCAATTAATAAGCTCCGACTGACAGGTGTTTCCATGTGTGTATGTGCGTATGTGTGTATGGTAAATATACTTATTTAACCACATTCTAAATGACAGTGCGACCATAATTTATTTAAATGTTCGTTAAATAAAATGCCATTGCAAAATATTTAAGTCTAGAAAACACACCTGAATTTACAATTATATACAAAGTTATATAATTGTCATTGTGCACATCATTGCAGCACAAAAGAAGGGGAGAGTCGCTTAGAGTGAGAGCAGGAGATAAAAATCAGTGATAAGGTCAATATGATGGTAAAGATAATCAAATCATGATGATAATGCTTGAAAATATGTTATTTTTTAATTTACAGAGCATAAAAGTATAGTTAGCTTATCTTTCCAATCGAATAGCTTGTTATCTTAAAATATTACCTATATTGCTTAAGACACTTTATACATTCCCTCAATATCTTCAAACTCTTCACATTTCTTAAGGTCTCATGGTCGAGGTAATAAGTTCTTTAAGCAAGTTTCATCAATATTTATGGAACAATAAAAATAAGAGGACTTGAGCGAGTTTTATGCTTTTCATTCCAATTCAAATAATAATATTAGCTTAGCACTAAACAAACCGTCTTGACGGCTCTGCAATTGCAAATGGTTCTAAAGGCATAGCAAAAATGTTTATTGTTCTTCGTCAAGCATCTGGCGCAGAGACATGAGCCATTTAATTTAATTCCAAGGTGCATTATTATAAAGGAAAATAGTTTTGCACAGTCTTTCTATTTTACGGTCATTCCAGTTTGGCTGGCAGCCCATCAGCAGCCCAGCCAGCAGCTCGAAGCCATCGGCTTCTCGGCTTCAGCCTCACCGACTCAATCCGCATTCTCGTCCGCATCTGCGGCGCTTTCGCTGTCGTTGTCGTTGTCATCATGCTCATTGCATTGCGCGCCTTCCACTTGACATCCTGGCTGCAATTTCCTTGTTGTGAAATTATGCTTTTGCTTTGACTTTGCCGCCGTGCGATGGGATGATAAATAAAACAGCAGACGGCTGCAAGGTGATTCGGTAGCTTGGCCACCGTAAGCTAAAGTAAACAGTTGCTGAATGCAGTCCATGGCCACGCCCAGCCGCCCAACCACGGCCACAGCGATTAACGGCGTGGGAACAAAAGCGAAATGAGCTGTTTCAGGCTGCCAATGACCATGCCCATGTGCGATGAAGCTGTTGAGCCGTGGTTTTCATGCCACATGCCACATGCCAACCTGCTGACATGAATTGCACTGATTCAGCCTCTGGCCTCGTTCGCTGTTTGCTTTTGATTGAAGGTTAAATGAGCCGTGCCACGCAAGGCTGACATATTTACTGCACACCGACCCAGAGCCCCTAAAAGCAGCATTTGCATTGCGCGCATCCTTTGTGCATCCTTAGACAGTCTTATTTTATTTCCTTTAGCTGAATTAGCTGGCATCAACCAAACCAAAGGGGTGCCTCAAAAGGCGGGCAGCCTGTCAGCGAGGCAGCCCGCTGTGTGCTTTGGCGTATTCCTTTTTTTTTTACGAGTCACCAGCATGCCATGATTTAGCTGTCTGACACGCCCGTTTAAATGATGCCGCCCCTAATTGAGTGCACTTTAAATTTGAAGACATTTTCCAGTTGCAGTGCGTTTTATTTGCCATTTTTTTTTTTTATTGTTCTTCTCTTTAACTATTTCGTTATCCAATTTTCCATTTACGTTTGCTTGCAGCTGTCCCCGGGCGAAGACATCACAACTGAGCCACAAACTCAAACTCAAATTCAAATTTAAACTCTCAACTAAAGACAACAGAGAAAAAGAAAATACAAACATGTCTATCTCCGATTTTCGCAAGAAGAAGCTGCTTTTCCTGTTCAACGTGTTCTTTGGTGAGTTCAAGATTTCTAGGTGAAGGTGAGCGTAAAATAGATTCATGTGAAATTTATGTTTTATCAGCTGGTTAAACAATTCTTAATTGATGTTCCCTTTGTCATTCATATAAATTGCTGTATACCGTTGAGAGCATAGTTTGAGTTGAGCTTCAAAATGTTCAATTCAATTTATGCAATTTAATTTGCCAAAATGTTTGCTCTACGCTGCATATACTTAATGCTTGCTGAAATATACATGTATTTGCATAAGCTTACGTGCATAGCCTTCTCCGCGCCAACTGTTATCCCCCTTAAAACAATTTCGTAAACTTTGGCTTGTAAGCTTGAAATTCTTGGGCTGTCGCTGAAAAGTAGGCAACACATTTTGTTGTATGCAAAGCGAGTGTGCAACAAAGTCTGAGTGCTTTTCGATTATGACTAATTGTCAGGTAGTAAACAGTTGACTGTCGCTTTAGCGGCTTTTTGGCTTTTTGCCATGGCTGGCAGCAGCTGCTGCTGTTGGCGACATAAAACGCAAGCGCCAAATACTTGACACTGCAACTTGAAGTGGCCATTTGCACACCGTTGCAACTGCAACTGCTGGCCAATGCAAATGACACGCCTTGCCTGAAATGGCCAGCAGCCAAAGAATGGGCGTGTACAAACAGGCATGGAGATCTGTCAGGATGGAAGGCAGGAAGTGCAACTAGGTGCCAGCTGCGCGACCATGAAAACCGTTTAACTTGCATTAATGTTTATTTCCGTCCTGCGCTCTCCGTTTTTTTTCATGCCGACAAATAACCAACTGACCAACAAACGGACAAAACATGCAAACAATGCAATTCATGCGGAATGCGCAACTTTGAATTCGCCAACATAACGCGGGACCAACAGATGTGAACCAAAGCGGCGAAATTGACGTTAAGGATTTCGAGCTGGCCATCGAGGTAAGTGGAGAACGTTAAAATATGCCAAAACAAATGTTGAATAACTGCAATTGCCACTGTCGATAAATATGCAAACCTAAGAATGTTTATAGACCAACAGCTGAATCAATACATGCAATAGAACCTGCAAGTGAACGGCACGCCGAACACTAAATACCCTTGCGAGCATATAGCAGATAATGCGGCTTACTTCTATCAGAAAACGTCTCTATAGGGGGTTAATGATATAGTGGTATGATATTAATATGACTTGTCCAGGCCAAATTTGGTAACGAATTTTTGAGCAAGAAACAGTATTTGTCTGGAAAGAGTCAGACATGGCCAAATCTTTTGATTAATCTATGGCATCATACATGTCTGCTTCTGTGCGTTACATTTTTCATGACAAAGTTAGATTACCCTCTGTCAGCGTAGAATAACAATAGAAACCAAGTACAACAATGTGCATGCTGAAAAGTTGGTTGGGCACATTTTGGAACTCTGTTGATTTTGCATGGTATTTTTATAGTTTGGGTTTTTCTTTTGCTTTTGGTTTTTGGCCATTCACATTATTTTTGGTGCTTTTTGTTTAGTCAACTCGTAACTGATAACTCAATTTATGCTGACATTTTTGTTGCTGCTGTTGTTTTTTTCTATTGCAGCGTGTGTGCAAGCTGCGCGGCTGGGCAAAGGACACGCCAAAGAACAAGGAGACATACGATGTCATGATGGAAATTTGGACTGGTCTGCGATCGAAGGCTGACAAGGATAACGATGGCCAGGTGAGCTGACAGTCAGATTGAGTGCCGCTGTGGGTGTGCATTGCTGTGTGTGTGCGTGTGTGGGGACCATAAAAAAAGGCAACTGCATGTCAAGTGCTTCGTTTTGGGATTCGAGCTCGCCATTTGAATGGCTTTATTGTCAGTGGCAAAAGTGTTGAAATCCATGGACTGCACTCGATGCCATTGTGACAGCAGCTGACAAGTGGGCCCAACCACACACACACACTTACTCTCACACACACACATAGTCGCACAGATTATATATGTATTTATGTATGTAGCAGCAAACATTACAAAGTCGTTCGCATGTTGCACGAAAAAAATGTTCATAAATTTTCCTTTTATTAGTGTGGAGTGTGCAGCTGTGTGATGCTGTGGATCCAGGGGGTGGCTGGGGGGTCGGCTGTGTGTGCCAGTAAGCAAATTCCACGTCTACAACAATGGGCGGAAATTGAATTGTGAATTATTTGAGCAATGCAGTTGCAGTTCCGGGCCACGACTTCAGTTAGTTTTCTAGGCCGCTGCTCATTACAATGACAAACTTTATAACCGCTTTATGCAGCCGTAGGAAAGTATCCATGCCCATGGCATAATCTGACTGAGTCTGCACAAATTAAATCATGGGTATAAGCCAGTCGAGCTTGTATAAAAAGATGATGCCAGCACAAGCAGCAACTTACAGGACAAGTACAGGTGCTTGAGGCCCACACCATGCCCACATCATGGCTCTGGCTTTGCCGCACTTCGATTGTGACACAGATAGCCGCAAAGTTTTGGCCTTTAGCCAGGAACTTGACGAAGTTCGCTGCAAATAAGCTGAAGTCAACTGTTTGCGGCCTTTGTGCAGTTTTGGCTTTGTGCTGGCTAGACTTGGATTTATTGTTGTTGCCTTAACTCATTTTACAGCTACACACACAGGCACGCACACACAAGCCAACAACATGTGCAAGCCAACAATACAAACAAAAACAACAACAACAACTGCGACAACTTAAGCTGGCAAGAGACACGGTCAAGGATGTGCGGCCTTTTTGGCATTTCAATTTGGCAACGCGCACCACTTAGATGCAATAAACATAAAAAATATGCAGCTAGTCCGACTCCGACTGGTTGTGGTCTAGGGTCAAGGGATTGCGACTGGAGGAAGCAGCGGGGACTTGGACCTGTCAATTGGCGCTGCAATTGATGGCGCTGACCGCACATTGTCTAGAGTTTTGCTTATTTATGGTCACATTAAAACATGGCCAACCTCCCGCCGCAAGACCCGTTATGGTCGGTGTCTCTTTGACCAAAATTAACGTTTGCTCCACAACAACCAACCGTAGTCAAAGTTCGTGCGCCGGGCGGGTCAAGGAGCCTCAGATTGTTCAATTTGGTCAAGGCGTCGATTGCTGATGTTGCGGTAATTGCCGTTGTTTGGTTTGGCAAGGCAAGCCAAAAAACGCTCATAAACGGTAGGGCATAATGTGCAGGTCGCATAAATTACAGCCCGCATAAGCCCCCCACCCCAGCTTGGCCAGCACCCCCCAGCCGGCCATTATGATGTTTTATGAGCAGCTACCCCGCCCACCTGCCGCTAGACGCCCTATGTGCTCTTCAACGCGTTTGGGGCGTTACGCATAAATCTGAAGCTTTTAACCCACTTTAACCCACTCTCCTGGCCATTCCTTCATTCGCAGGTCAGCGTGGAAGAGTGGTGCAACATGTGGGACGCATACGCCAAGGATCCCAGCAGCGTAATGGACTGGCAGAATACGTACATGAACTTTATGTTCGATTTGGAGGATGCTTCGCATGATGGCGGCATCGATGTGACGGAGTTCACTCTGGTCTGCTCCAGCTATGGCCTGGACAAGAAGGAGTGCGAGGAGGCGTTCAGCAAGATGGCCCAGGGTCAAAGCGATGTGACTCGCGAGCAGTTCGCCGCCTTGTGGAAGGAGTATTTTGCTGCCGAGGATGCGAACGCGCCCGGCAACTTTATTTTTGGCAAGACATCCTTCTAACTGCTGTTCGGAAATTCCTGATCGACTTTGTCTTTGCCATTGATATATTCAACAAGAAAATATTGAAATTACATTCTAAATTAAAGCTAAATCAACAGGAGGCTTCAAATTCCATTTCAATCTTGACAATTTGTAGCCCAGTTAACGGTTGGCAGTCCTTAAAGCTCAGACGTTGTTAATTAAATGTTGTTGTCAACTGTAACTCAACTTTTGCTCAATTCAATGTTCTAATTTACTAGCCTAATAAGTTAAATGGAAAACATCTAGCTATTATTTATATTTTGTATTCTACTTATATAGTATACGAGTATATAACTAATTGTTGTGTGTGCAAGCTCAATATGAAAATTATATCTAAAAGCTCAATTAGAACAGGATTCGTGTAATCTGGTGAATACTGTTGATGCGTAAATTAAACCAATTAAACTGTCAAATTATTTTGTGTGTGTAGTTTATCGTCCCAATATCTGGCGTTTAAATTTATATGTAAATGTAAAGTGTTTCAACCAATACAAATAATAAATGCTAAACATCTACAGCAGTTGCACGTTTAATTTATGAGGCAAAAACCATTACTTGTTGCTGCTCCAGTGGGCGACGCCTTCCTTTTAAGTCCTTACGGCTGCCGCAGGTTATGGACCCCGATAAGATCAGCAATTGGCTGGCAATTTATGAAAATTATAATTTTGTTCGCTGCCACAAATAACCTTCGGTTGAGCTGCATTGTCGAGGTTGGGTGCACTTCGCAGCGATTTACTGTTCCAATGGGGCGGCTAGGTAATTTATGCAATTGCGTGTGTATAGAACTTGCTGTGGTTTTTTGCTTGTAGTGCAGCGCACTCAGCACCGAAGCTTTCTGGTTGGACGCTTGCAGCTTCAAGCTTAAGTTGTTGGCCTTTTAAAAATAGCGCCAAAAGCTCGCAAGAAAAAGCTCTGTAAACAGAATTTTATACCACTGAGCTTTCGGTTCTCCTTTTATCCAGCCTTGCCACATGGCAAGTATAAGCTTTTGCCCTAGGTGGCAGCCCTGTGGATGGTAGTGAAGGTTACGCCACAAATTGCCTATCTCTCTCCGCGCATCAGCATATCATCGCGCGCTTCGCCTTTGATTCAAAATAGTTTTATCTCTTGAACAAACTTTTCCTTTTTAGCCAAATTGCGAAACTTTCAACTAGCCTTCGGCAGACCTTGCATTTCATTTGCGCTCATTTCTATTATACGCGGACCTACGGTGAAGTAGGTCATTGTAGTCCCAAGTTAATCGGTTCTTTGTAAATCTGAACTAGCTGCTAACTAATAAAAATGTATTAACTTGTTGCGCGGAAGAGTATGCAACAGTTTTGTTGAATGCGGTTAACTTTAGCCTTTTATTTTCCTGCCCGAAAGTATGCAGTGAAATTTGACATTTGGTGATATATATATTTAAACATGAAAACATTTTTCATTTAAATTATTAATTAATATCGCCAAGATCAGCCTCGGTTGGATATATGTCGCTTTGAAACGACATATCTCCAACGTTATTTGTCGACATAATATCGCCAAGATCAGCCTCGTTTGTAAAGTACACCTTTTTTGCTGATTTTTTGTAATATCTCGGCCAAAAATTGTCCGATTTTGGAATTTTATATCATTTTGGACTCTTGAGGATCAGTGCTATCGATTGGCATCAAAAAGGTGCAAATCAAAATTTTGACCCAAATCGTCAAAACGCTTTGAAACGACATATTCCAACGTTATATGTCGACATAATATCGCCAAGATCAGCCTCGGTTGGATATATGTCGCTTTGAAACGACATATCTCCAACGTTATTTGTCGACATAATATCGCCAAGATCAGCCTCGTTTGTAAAGTACACCTTTTTTGCTGATTTTTTGTAATATCTCGGCCAAAAATTGTCCGATTTTGGAATTTTATACCATTTTGGAATCTTGAGGATCAGTGCTATCGATTGGCATCAAAAAGGTGCAAATCAAAATTTTGACCCAAATCGTCAAAACGCTTTGAAACGACATATTCCAACGTTATATGTCGACATAATATCGCCAAGATCAGCCTCGGTTGGATATATGTCGCTTTGAAACGACATATCTCCAACGTTATATGTCGACATATTATCGCCAAGATCAGCCTCGTTTGTAAAGTACACCTTTTTTGCTGATTTTTTGTAATATGTCGGCCAAAAATTGTCCGATTTTGGAATTTTATACCATTTTGGACTCTTGAGGATCAGTGCTATCGATTGGCATCAAAAAGGTGCAAATCAAAATTTTGACCCAAATCGTTAAAATGGCAAGGGGTTACATCACGTTTTTTTTTTTCAAAATTGGGGTCGGTTCGAAAATTGAAACTTTTTTCATGATTTTTTTTGAATATCTCGGGTAAATATTGTCTGATTTTTAAATGTTATACCTTTTTTAATTCGTACGGATCCCTACTATGAAATGGCATTCAAAGAAACTACAAATCGGTCGGTTCAAAAAAGTTGTTGACCAAAAACCGAATCGGTTGTAAAGTACACCTTTTTTGCTGATTTTTTGTAATATCTCGGCCAAAAATTGTCCGATTTTGGAATTTTATACCATTTTGGACTCTTGAGGATCAGTGCTATCGATTGACATCAAAAAGGTGCAAATCAAAATTTTGACCCAAATCGTTAAAATGGCAAGGGGTTACATCACGTTTTTTTTTTTTCAAAATTGGGGCGGTTCGAAAATTGAAACTTTTTTCATAATTTTTTTTGAATATCTCGGGTAAATATTGTCTGATTTTTAAATGTTATACCTTTTTTAATTCGTACGGATCCCTACTATGAAATGGCATTCAAAGAAACTACAAATCGGTCGGTTCAAAAAAGTTGTTGACCAAAAACCGAATCGGTGTAAAGTACACCTTTTTTGCTGATTTTTTGTAATATCTCGGCCAAAAATTGTCCGATTTTGGAATTTTATACCATTTTGGAATCTTGAGGATCAGTGCTATCGATTGGCATCAAAAAGGTGCAAATCAAAATTTTGACCCAAATCGTCAAAACGCTTTGAAACGACATATTCCAACGTTATATGTCGACATAATATCGCCAAGATCAGCCTCGGTTGGATATATGTCGCTTTGAAACGACATATCTCCAACGTTATATGTCGACATAATATCGCCAAGATCAGCCTCGTTTGTAAAGTACACCTTTTTTGCTGATTTTTTGTAATATCTCGGCCAAAAATGGTCCGATTTTGGAATTTTATACCATTTTGGACTCTTGAGGATCAGTGCTATCGATTGGCATCAAAAAGGTGCAAATCAAAATTTTGACCCAAATCGTTAAAATGGCAAGGGGTTACATCACGTTTTTTTTTTTCAAAATTGGGGTCGGTTCGAAAATTGAAACTTTTTTCATGATTTTTTTTGAATATCTCGGGTAAATATTGTCTGATTTTTAAATGTTATACCTTTTTTAATTCGTACGGATCCCTACTATGAAATGGCATTCAAAGAAACTACAAATCGGTCGGTTCAAAAAAGTTGTTGACCAAAAACCGAATCGGTTGTAAAGTACACCTTTTTTGCTGATTTTTTGTAATATCTCGGCCAAAAATTGTCCGATTTTGGAATTTTATACCATTTTGGAATCTTGAGGATCAGTGCTATCGATTGGCATCAAAAAGGTGCAAATCAAAATTTTGACCCAAATCGTCAAAACGCTTTGAAACGACATATTCCAACGTTATATGTCGACATAATATCGCCAAGATCAGCCTCGTTTGTAAAGTACACCTTTTTTGCTGATTTTTTGTAATATCTCGGCCAAAAATTGTCCGATTTTGGAATTTTATACCATTTTGGAATCTTGAGGATCAGTGCTATCGATTGGCATCAAAAAGGTGCAAATCAAAATTTTGACCCAAATCGTCAAAACGCTTTGAAACGACATATTCCAACGTTATATGTCGAGATAATATCGCCAAGATCAGACTCGGTTGGATATATGTCGCTTTGAAACGACATATCTCCAACGTTATATGTCGACATAATATCGCCAAGATCAGCCTCGTTTGTAAAGTACACCTTTTTTGCTGATTTTTTGTAATATCTCGGCCAAAAATTGTCCGATTTTGGAATTTTATACCATTTTGGACTCTTGAGGATCAGTGCTATCGATTGGCATCAAAAAGGTGCAAATCAAAATTTTGACCCAAATCGTTAAAATGGCAAGGGGTTACATCACGTTTTTTTTTTTTCAAAATTGGAGTCGGTTTGAAAATTGAAACTTTTTTCATGTCCGATTTTGGAATTTTATACCATTTTGGACTCTTGAGGATCAGTGCTATCGATTGGCATCAAAAAGGTGCAAATCAAAATTTTGACCCAAATCGTTAAAATGGCAAGGGGTTACATCACGTTTTTTTTTTTCAAAATTGGAGTCGGTTCGAAAATTGAAACTTTTTTCATGATTTTTTTTGAATATCTCGGGTAAATATTGTCTGATTTTTAAATGTAATACCTTTTTTAATTCGTACGGATCCCTACTATGAAATGGCATTCAAAGAAACTACAAATCGGTCGGTTCAAAAAAGTTGTTGACCAAAAACCGAATCGGTTGTAAAGTACACCTTTTTTGCTGATTTTTTGTAATATCTCGGCCAAAAATTGTCCGATTTTGGAATTTTATACCATTTTGGACTCTTAAGGATCAGTGCTATCGATTGGCATTAAAAAGGTGCAAATCAAAATTTTGACCCAAATCGTCAAAACGCTTTGAAACGACATATTCCAACGTTATATGTCGACATAATATCGCCAAGATCAGCCTCGGTTGGATATATGTCGCTTTGAAACGACATATCTCCAAAGTTATATGTCGACATAATATCGCCAAGATCAGCCTCGTTTGTAAAGTACACCTTTTTTGCTGATTTTTTGTAATATCTCGGCCAAAAATTGTCCGATTTTGGAATTTTATACCATTTTGGACTCTTAAGGATCAGTGCTATCGATTGGCATTAAAAAGGTGCAAATCAAAATTTTGACCCAAATCGTCAAAACGCTTTGAAACGACATATTCCAACGTTATATGTCGACATAATATCGCCAAGATCAGCCTCGGTTGGATATATGTCGCTTTGAAACGACATATCTCCAAAGTTATATGTCGACATAATATCGCCAAGATCAGCCTCGTTTGTAAAGTACACCTTTTTTGCTGATTTTTTGTAATATCTCGGCCAAAAATTGTCCGATTTTGGAATTTTATACCATTTTGGACTCTTGAGGATCAGTGCTATCGATTGGCATCAAAAAGGTGCAAATCAAAATTTTGACCCAAATCGTTAAAATGGCAAGGGGTTACATCACGTTTTTTTTTTCAAAATTGGGGTCGGTTCGAAAATTGAAACTTTTTTCATGATTTTTTTTGAATATCTCGGGTAAATATTGTCTGATTTTTAAATGTTATATTGTCCGATTTTGGAATTTTATACCATTTTGGAATCTTGAGGATCAGTGCTATCGATTGGCATCAAAAAGGTG